TGAACAAGAAAACGACACAAACGTAGTTGAAATACTACCGAGTAATCTTAAGCGCCAGCTAGTTCGTAACCGCCTATATGACCGTCTATGTGCAACTCAAAATTGCATAATCTGCCCCAGTGGTAGAGACGGTGACTGCATGAGCTCGAGTATAGTTTATCTGATCTCCTGTAAGACGTGTGGTGACGAATATATTGGCGAAACGGGTAGACCCCTCTGTGTCCGCATGAAAGAACACCTAGCCGGCAAAAATAGACCAAATACCCCGCAAGGCACGCATAGGACCCAGAGACGACGGGGACGACTTTGAAGTATGCGTCACGATCCTCGCACGCGATTCAAGAACACAGGCGCGAAAAACTCGAGGCACTTTGGATTAATTCCAGAAATCCGAAAATGAACCGCAGGGAAGAATGCCTCATTATCACGCGTGATATAGGGCAGTATATAAGACTGCTATTCTGATGGAAGGGGCACATTATACTTCCATGTGATTTCTCTGCGGCTGGTCTCTACGTGACATACTTAGTGGAAACCTCATAGAAAGCGGTGAGTGTGCAAATCTGTGTTCAACGTGATTGAAATCTTGGTTTAGAGTTTCTTTGTTTGGTTATGGAGGCGTCTGGCCTGGTGGATTGCTATCAACTTGACCTTTCCAGGCTCTGAGGAAGGCGAAACCCGCCGAAACGTCAACTTATTCGTGAATAAGGAATAATAACACCTCGCGTTTGCTCAACAAAAATACGAAGAATTAACTGATCTCTGATAGAATAAATGGTGATGCCTAAGCTGCCACATTGTCGATATTAAATCAGAATAAAATCAGAAAACAAAAGAGAGAAAAAGGAGCAATCAGTTTAAAGTCTAAAACATCTGAGACCCCGCAATATACGTATATATATATATATATATATATATATATATATATATATATATATCTTAGTAAACAAAAATATAATGCGTTTCTCAACAAGATTTGATATTTCGAAAGCGACTTTCCTCGAACCTCGGTATCACTAATCACTATGTATTCTTTCTTTGATGAGCTTACACGGGGTTGATAATGATATTTATTTTCGGCTAAAGTTTCGTCGTCTTCGTCTTCCTCAGAGCCATTGATCCCAGTCAGATATATAGATATAAGATATAGATATAGATTTGATATAATTCTTTGTACTTCTGTTCAGCAAACACGAGGTGCTATTTTGTTTCTTTATTTACGTACAAGCTGACGTTTGAGCGGATTTCGCCTTCCTCAGAGCCTGAAAGGGTCAAGTTGACAGCAATCCACTCGGCCAAACACCTCCGTAACCAAACAGAGAAAACGCTAAACCAAGAAAGAATTATTCAATCAATGCCGAGGTTAATAGAAAGCCGGACTTAGGAGATTTGATATGTTTCAAAAACAGATTTTCGTTTAATCTCCGCACGCCTAATCAATACGTATTTTAATATGCCGAATAAAGATCATATATCAATCTCGTATAAGCTTATCAAAAATTTGACATGTTGTTCTGTTTATCAAAAAGTAAACGGAGACAAGCTGGTCCTCTCGAGTACTTCCGGTTTTTTTGAATAAACAAAACATGTTCAAAACAGCGGAAAAAAATTCGTCAACAAACAATGAGATTTGCTTAAGCCACTAATAGCTAGTAGATGTCAACAAAGTGTAGTAAATAGTAAAGAATTAAGTAATGAAGCGATCATTCATTGCAATTCGTAACAGTCTGAAGAGCTTCTCAACTTAAACTTCTTTTAGTAATACAAAGATGTTGCTCTCCTTAGCTAAATCGACGATAGCACGTCGCTTCACCTACTTGCCACGTTCCAGTCCACAAATGAAGCAACTGTTCTTCAGCACGTCCTCCTTATCATTTTTTTCCGTTCTCAAATCACCAAATGTGTCAATGATAACACCAAAAATTAGATTCAAAACGATGACGATAAGCACGACGTAGAAAGACAAATCGTAGATGATTCGGTAATAAAAGAGTTTCTCCTGAATAAAAGAAAAATTAAAAGACACTCATTTGATCAATACGCATATTTTTCACTAGTCCTGAAATTGTTCTTCTACACTGCCGTAACCAAGTTTAAAACGATGTTACGAAAAGCATTTGAAGGTTTTGGCTTCGAGAGCAATAAATGTTGCTGCTGTTCGTTGATTATTTGATGTTGTATCGACGAGGACACGTGACCGTGTTACAGGAGTACCGCCAAGTTGCAGCACTTTCCGATCAATATTTATTCTTTTAAAATGCCAAACATCGAATTTTATACGGATCATAGCAATTCTTTCATTCTCTTCTTTATCCCGCAACCGGTATCCAAGAAATTTTGCCGATTTCAGTGTGCGTATCGCTGCCAACTGAGAATCAAGCCTTTATCGTGACCGTCACGGAATCCAACCAGGTTCATTTTTCTTGGAATCCCTCCAAGAATGATGTATGATACCTCTCTTAATGCGCTCCCAGATTTCTACCAAAAACCTACGGCGCTATTTATGGACCTCTTCCAAGACAACTTTGGTGCCAATTTGTCGACTTCGCAGAATCAAAAGTTCGATTGTCCCAGGAAGGGGCGAATTATCGACTGCACGCGTATTACACGGCACACCTTACCATTCGCCTACTACCACCCTACATTCTTACTTTAAAAGGACAGAAGTTGCACTTAAAGATGTAAAAGTATAAAAGTAATAAGGGAAATAATATCGTAAAAAAAATTTACCTCAGGATCCGCATTTCTTAATACGTCGCCAATCCCACCACCATTACGTAATCCCCAGTTCAATGTTGTTATGATGCACATTCGTAGGGTATCACAAGAAGCGATTCTAGTTCTATCTAAAATTAGAAATCGTTCCAAGCTTAGTAATCTCCAATAGTTGACTAACAAATCTTACACCATACTCGATCCCTATGTACGTTTTAAGAACCAGCACAGGATATTTTAATCGCTTTTATGAAATGATTCTAATATCTAATATCCACTCTATATACAAGGGTTATAACTATCCATTTAGATTTATCCTCGTAGTTTTTTCGTTCTCCTGCTTCATTTTTAATTCTCTTCTCCATATTATATTTCCCTTCGATTGATTCTTATACCAGCAATGCGTATTACTTATGCCTCCCAACGGTTTACCGCCTCATCGTGGCTGGTAGGTGTTCCTGGGTGTCGGCCTGCGATGTACAGCGGAGCATTCATCTCCCCGGCATGGTCTCCCAAGCTCAGAAGGAGCCCGAAGTTTCTATCAGGAAACCTAACTAAGAGTAAACCAATACCAAGATGCACCACCGTCCTGGTATCGAAGTCACATAGTGGCAAATCTCCTTCTAATCCACAAAGACTGCGACTGCTTGTGGTGGTGACGACCTAGGGCAGATTTTGGCCAGGCTGACCTCGGAATTCCAGGGAACCAGAATAGCTTAACCAGCAAATCTTCGAGAAATAGAGATTGTGCTGGGGCCCGCACAACCAGTGAGGAGGGCCATTCAAGTATCAAATAAGTAAGATTCTAATATCTAGTATCCACTCTATATACAAGGGTTATAATTATCCATTTAGGTTTATCTTCGTAGTTTTCTCGTTCTCCATCCTTGTTTTTGTGTCTCTTCTCTATATTATATTTTCTTTCTAACAATGTTCAGTCTTCCACCTTAGTTAAACTTAAAGAAATTCTACAACGGCTAATAGTGAACTGTTTGAAAAGGTTTTCTAAGCATTAGCTTACCGTCTTCATGTTTTCTTCGTCCATTCGTGGATTCCAAACATTCTTGATCAGAAGAACAAGTGTCAGGATTGGGATCTTCCGTGAATATCGCTGGCGGTTGAACCGGCTCTAATGGATCAACCTCAAGCGTAAAGTCTGTAATGAAACAAGAACTGTTGGTCAATAAAGTTGTTCTAGAGATTGAATAACACGAAGATACTAGAAAGAATTTTAAAAGTACCCTTTTGAAAAAATGTATATCCAATAATAGAGAATATATAAACCAAAATAAGTGCTAGTAAACCGGTCAGAATAATTGATTGCCAATTTTTGGTCACTGAACTGATGACGTTCCGTAACGTGTCCTCACTGGCGACGATGTCGAACAACTAAAAATTATTAATCACTTCAATTGGCACTTGTTGAACAGTACTACTGTCGTGGTAAGGCTATCACTTAATAGTTTGCCGATATATACATATCAGAAGAGTCAGAGAGAAATATTCCAGCATAAGCAGGAACATATGAACATAAACGGACACTGGCGAGCACTAAGGGGCACAGGCGGGTACGGACGAGTAAGTGACGATGACTAAAGTAATCAAGTAGTTGAACAGAAGAGAAACTGGTGTGATTGTTTCATGAAGACAGAGGCATACTTTAAAAAGTCAAGGAATATCCCGGGAACGGATCCATACATTGTGGTTCAATAAACTCCATTAGTTAAATTAAGGCCAAAATAGATGAAAAGTCATTTAGGTACGATTACTGAAATGTCACTGGCAACACGAAAAATTTGTAGCGAGCAAGTCAAGAACTCAAATTGTTCCGTGAATTGTTCCAAACTGGCCAAATAGTGTTTTCATAGGAATGGAACCTACGCCATCACCGGAAATGGCTTCGTTGCACTTTTTACAGAGAGATGCGGTTAGTGATATAAGTGGTATAAAAATCAAAAACATTAACTATAACCAACCAGTATACAGTAAAGCATAGGATGTATTACGAATCCGAGACAACACACGATTAGATACGCAATGTGATAGTGCAATTCGCCATCAGACAATCTCACCGACCACGACTTGTCCTCCAGGCCTTTGTTACTGCCATACGCTACCAAATGTATGCATTTATTAACGAGCTGAAAAAAATAACAAAACTAGGTAGACGTAGTAAATAAGAGTAGGTTCCAGATATTATGCTTCTCCCTTACAGAGCACTTCAATCGTGTTCCCTTTCATCATCGCTCAAAGTTCAAAACGAACAATTTTTTTTTTGATAATAAGCAGTGGAAGGAAGATATAAATAGAAGAAGAGCGAGAAGAACAGTGAATAGAGAAAAAAAGAATGAGAAAAAAAGGAAGAAGAAGGAGAAGAAGGATAAAAGGAAGGTCAATAGAAATAAGGTGAAGAAGAAGAAGAACGTACTTGTGCTAAACCTATAATATACAATGCTGGCACGACTCCTAGTAAAGATATCAGCATTAAAGCTGCACTGAACATCACCACTGCTATTGCCGTAATTATGTTCGAACTCTTCGCCAGGGAAGAGCTAAAATGTCTCACTATTCTTAAGAGCTTGATCCAGGAGCCCTGCCAAAATGTTGAACACATCGACGACAACGCCCTTTTTCAGGATTAGCAGTGAAAAATATGTCGACGAAGAGAAGTTTCAAAACAAAGATATTGTCCATAGTACCCACCTCTCATCCCATTGCGAATATAAAAATATTATGGAAATAACAGAAGATGTGTAGATGAAAGGATTAGAAGCATGAAGACCCGCTGGAAAACTTCAGAATTCTCTGTGGATCAAAGGCATCTGGGTAAAAATGTAGTGAAAAATTCGACTTCAAAATATTAATGATAGTTATTTGTCCAAGATAAAATAAAAATTGAAAAGAATAGATTATCGGACAATTGAATTGAGGATTGCATCATCGGCAAGGGGCTCCCCGACTGATTGCACGGACCACTTTAGTCGCAGAAGAATCCTAGTCACAAAGGTAGCAACCTGACACAGTTGTGATGAAGAAATGAAAGCGATTTAGCAGACTCCTAGCACGAAACGAAAACCTCAGTTCCAACTAAGGTTCGACATATCAATAAGAAAAGAATATAACATATTGTCAATCTATAACGGAACACTGGAATCCAGCAACCTTAAATGATGACGATTGCAAAATGAAAAATCAAATGGAGTGAGGGATGGAGCCCACAAATCATACGAGAATGGACCATCTGTAGTAATTATCTAGGTCATTCAGTTAATACCTCGTGTCTGCTTACTGACGAAAAACAGCGAACTAATAAAGGAGTTGTCCATGTTTTTCATCTCAATTGCTTTATTACGTAATACACTCACTTCACATTGTAGAGTATGCTATTTCCTAATTCTTCGTGAAAAAAAAACTCCAATTCCCATTGCTGTCACAAGCTTCTCATATAATTAGTTTATGAATGTGTCGTTTTCTTGTTCAGCAATCGCGACGTTTTTAAACAGCATACATTTACTTCCATAAAAACACAATACAATACAACGCTAGCTGACGTTTCGGCAGTATCGCCTTCTTCAGAGCCT